TTTTTTTTTTTTTTTTTGTGATTAAATATACAGTTTAATTGATTGAATGTCAGTTTGCATGCGTACTTGTTCAGCATAAAGTGTTACAAGTAAACAAATGATTCATATCGAGGTGGTGAGATATGGTATTTAATTAAAAAACTGTACTTAATGATCTATACCTGTGCATAGCTAATACTTCACCCTCTCACATGTTTAATGTTATTTTACAATAATCTATGACCCGTTCAGTAATTATACAGGGTGATCAGTAAGTCAGGAAACGGGTTTCTATTCTTCTCATTGTTACAAACAATGACTTACTGAACACTCTGTATATGAATTTTTAGGTAAATAAACAACAAACGCATCACAGCATAATTAATATCTTCTAGGCATCACGCCGAAGTCAAATATTTTTGAAAAAACTCAATTACATTATTATTAGTAACAGGTAGTATAACAATATTTTCTTAATAGTCCCATTACTTGCCAATTATTAATATACCAATTTCTTAACAAAATCACTTTATAATAAAATTAAAATAAAATTGATAATAAAATTAGGTATTGGATTTATTTTATTATTTTTAATAAATTAATGAATTTAAAAATTAAAAATATTTTAAAAATAAATTTATTAAAATAAAATAAGTTTATAATTGGAAAATTTTACATACCTTGTGTAGAAGACGCTTGATCTTGCTGGATCATGGTTTTATTTATACGTGTAAATTATTAAATAATAAATTTCTGGTTTTCAAAATGACAACTGCACGTTAATGACAATTAAAAACAAATGTGACAGGACAAGAAGTATTTCACCGGTTATATAGTAAAGAATAAAATACTGCGTAGGCGTGAAACACATCCAGTGGTGTCATTTTTATCATAAAATGCATACGACAGTGCTCGTTACTGTACGGTGATACCTTTGATGTTGGAAATATGCTTACCTAAGCGTCTGGTAGTCGATGATAAAATTCTTAGAAATTATAGCTATACATTTAATAATACACAGACAGCGCCGCAATTGTTCTCATATCAAATTACAGACTATTATGAGCTATATAATATAATGGTACCTTTGATGTTTGAAATACGCTTACCTAAGCTTCTGGTAGTCGATGATAAAATTCTTAGAAATTATAGCTATACATTTAATAATACACAGACAGCGCCACAATTGTTCTCATATCAAATTACAGACGCTTATGAGCGATATAATATTATGATACCTTTGATGTCGGAAATATGCTTACCTAAGCGTCTGGTAGTCGATGGTAAAATTCTTAGAAATTATAATGCCATAACGACAAACGATACCATTGTTCTCATAAAATTCATACGATAATGATTATTACTTATGACGACATTTTCAATATTAAAAAAATATGCTAACCTAAGCGTCTGGTAGTTGATGGTAAAATTCTTAGAAATGATTTGTACATTTAATAATACAAAGACAGCGTCACAATTGTTCTCATATCAAATTACAGACTATTATGAGCCATATAATATAATGATACCTTTGATGTCAGACATATGCTTACCTAAGCGTCTGCTAGTCGATGATAAAATTCTAAGAAAACGTTGGGTTTCATCCTCTCCCTCCCCCCGCATTAGGTTAGTTTACATAAGGTTTTGTCCTCTCATTGCATTATGTTAGTTTACGTTGGGTTTCATCGTTCTCCCCCACCATTACATTAGGTTAGTTTACGTTAGATTTAATCCCCCCGTACACTTCCTCCACCGCAAGGAAGGTGAGTGGGTGAGGCGGGGGGGGCCCAGCTCTCTCCAAATTACCCTACTTNATTTGTACACTATTTTAAATATTAGATTTACAATAAGTATTTGAAAAATTACTTAATATTTTTTTCTTCCAATGTTCCCTTTCAAATTCATTAAAGACTTGAAGTGAGAGCTCATCTACCTCTTTAGCATATTCTTCATCGTCGAATTCGACATTCCAGATTCTAACGTCTTCTGCAATACGTTAATTATTTTTATTAACTTTTCTCAATCAGTTAAATAATTTTTTTTTACTTACTCATCATTTCTTGAAGATCTGATATATTTACATTATCAACCCATGTTCCCTGTGTCACAAGATCGATTAAGTTTTCTTCCATATCGACCTCGGTCCATGGATTTAAATCTGAATGCATACATTCTCCTTCTTTCTTATTCGTTTGATTCTATAATTATAATCAAAACTTGTTAAAATTTTAAATAAAAAAAAAAATATTAAACACATACCGTATCATATAACCAAGATTGGTGTTGCCCTGTATCAATCATAGAGCATATTATTGGATTTTCATTTAGAACATTAATTTGATACTCATCCATGGACTAAATTTCAGAAAATAATTCTTGCGAAGACTAATTATTGAATTCAAAGTTAATGAGTTTAAAATTCAATTAAAAGATAAATTAAAAAATACTTACCATTTCTTGAGAAAACTGTTCTATTTTGATATTGTTTAGAATATCGTAAAATTCTTCCTCATCAAGTACAGGTGATAGCGGTTCAGTCTTCATATTGTGTAATTTATAAAAAAATTCTTCGGTACCAATAGTTTGCGATGACATGATGCTTGTATTGATTTAACTGAACGACTGTGACCATAGATTGTCATACAATCTTACAGAAGAATTTCAAAATGATGATTTATCATTTTTAATTACTCTGTGATTGGATGAAAATTTGTTGACGATTTTAAAAACATTTGCAGGAGGGGTTACAAGAGATAATTATGAATTTCTTAGAAGTATTCTCATTTTTGAAATTTGCTGATTACATTTTATTTAAAATGTAAATTGTGTAACTTACATTTCACACAAAGTAAAAGAAAAACATTTTTCAAGATTCCATATCATTNGCACATTTTTTCAAGATTCCATATCATTATGGTTTTATATTTCACCACGTGGAACACATTTTTTATATGCGTACTGTACACATGTTACAGTATCTTATATTATTTTGTTACCATGAAACAAGAAATGATTTTAAACATACGTACCTGCAGATTAAAATTTACAAATGATGTATTATTTAATCGCAAACCCAAACATCATAAAACAATATGTAGTATTGCAAACGATGAATGGGTTTATAGAAATAATTACAACCAACTGCGTTGAAATAATTTAACTTTATTTTCATAAATAACATTTTTACAAATATATTTACAGTTTTTCATTATTTTTTAATTCTTCATCACTGCTATTATTGTTTTCATCTATTAAATCAATTAGATCGTTACAAGTTTCCCATTTTTGAATATGTGCAAATGTATTTAATGCATTGATGCTTGTATTCTCTCCGTCAGTTTCGTCTTCACCCCAATTATTGTTTTGGTTAAAATTAATATTATTTCTAAAATAATAGATTTAATTTAATAATTTATTATAAAAATTAGCGTTAATACTTACTCGCTACTTGTGCTATTATTCATAACGTTTAAAATATCCTGATTTGTTTGTTTTTTAAAGTCGCTTACGAATTGATCCCATATGCGCTTCACTATACATTTGTAATCGAATGTGATTATTTCATTATACAATACCATCGAAGTTTTGGGCAATAACGACGTATTAATGTTTTTTACAATCGTAAACACTAAGTTTTCAGGTAACAATAAAAACTTATTTATCATCATATCTTTTGCTTTTTCATAGATTTCTTTACTTTGCATTGAGAGCAAGTTACAAGTTTCATATTTTTCTTTTACCACTTCCACAAGACATTGTTTTATTTCTTTTATTTCCATTAGGTTTTCTACGGTTAGCGATTCACAACCCGTTTTCTGTTGTTCAACACCTCTACCCGATATGGATAGATAATTTTTCGAGAAACATTTTGACTTGACGATATTAAACTCCGTACTCAAATATATTTTTGATTTACAAGAATCGTCCATGAACGATATTAGTTCGCCGATAATGTTCAAAAAGTTTATAAAATTGTCTGCCGACATCCAAAAGTACATACTTGGTGTTATGATTATTATAATCGGAACGTATTGATCAATTACCCACGTGCAACCGATATGTAGAAATTTTCGCTCGACGAAACTCAAATTGAAGACCGACGTTGCTAGTATAGAAAACTCAGGTTGAGGTTGATTCCGAATAGTCATTCTTATATCTTTTCCTCCAGTTGTCATTTTCATCATGCTCATCTTGAATATCACGATGTTATACTTCACTGATTACACACACGAGTAAGNCCACGCTGTTATACTTCACTGATTACACACGCGAGTAAGAAAACGAAGATACAATACGATTGATTTTCACGAGCGATTGTGTTATATACCAATATTAAATAACAGGAGTGGGGAAAGAATACAATCATCTTTGAAGTGGGAGGTAATGATACAAGGTTCAATTATCATAAATAAAATATTAAAGAAACTATGATTTTTATTCTAAAATAATAATATAAATATAACAACTATTAATATTATTTCAGAACGCAGATAAATTTAATACGATCATTTATTAATGAAACGTTTTTAAAGTGTGGCGGTAATAACGTGATAAAGGTGGCGCTAATAATTTTGATAAGGGAAGTGGTAATAATTTTGAAAAGTGAGGCACTATTATTTGTTATCAAATTGAATTTTTATTTTGATAAGGGAGGCGCCTGAGGAGATTATAAGTGAGGCGCCGGAGGAGGCGCAAGTGAGGTGCCCCCACAAACACACATCACCTCTGGACTTGTCTTCATGATGAAAATGACTATCGTATGCAAAAATATGCTATTTTTTTGAGAAAATTCTTGATATTATATTTTACATTTTTTAACATTATGATGCTATAACTTTTTAAAAAATGCATGAATCAATTCTATTCTTTAATAATAAATACTTTATATTTACTTCTTTCATTCGACATACTTTTTTTTTAAATCAGACCTTTTCCCTTTATACAGGGGTGGGGTGCAAACCTTTTAAAATGCGTATAGAAAGTAGAACTTTTTCAACTTAACTTTTGAAAATGTTCCGGAAAGACTGACACTTTTATATATATCTTAAATTAAAGCTTATGTAATATACTTTAATTTGAAAAAAAAAAATTTGACCTCTGGACTTGTCTTCGTGGTGAAAACGGACATCAAAGTTAAAGAAAAACGTACGATTTCCGTGAAAAAAATCTCGATTTTATATGTTATATTATTTAATTTATATTTTATATAACTTTTGGAAAAATGTATGGATCTATATTATTATTTTTTTATAATAAATATTGATATACCCCTTTCATCTGGCACGCTTTTTTTGTAAATCGGATCATACCCCTTTAACAAGGGGGGTCAAAACTTTAAACATGCGTATTGTTACTACGATATTTTCAATTTAATTTTTGAAAGTATTCCGGAAATACTGACACTTTTAAATATATCTTAAATTAAAGCTTATGTAATATACTTTAATGTGAAAAAAAAAAATTTGACCTCTGGATTTGTCTTCATGGTAAAAATGACTACCGTATTCAAAAATATGCTATTTTTGTGTTAAAATTCTGGGTTTTGTATTTTATTTTATTTTAAAATACCTGACAAGGGGAGTACAGATTTTCATAAATATTATATAAATTAAAATTGATATAGTATAGATAGTTAAACTTATTTAAATATGTTTGTTTCTTTTAAGTCGAGAAAAATAACTTAGAAATTTGAACTAGGTTAAATAGCCAACTTTTTCAATCAACAGTAGCAACGTACGGTTGCCGAGTTGGTAAAACTTATGTTTTACACGCTTGGGGTACGAGGTTCCAACCCGCGTATGGCAATGAATTTTTTGCATTTTTTCTTAATTCTTTTTAAGTTAGTATAAATTTTAACTCGNATTTAATTCTTTTTAAATTAGAATAAATTTTCAACTGCTTTGATTTTTATCTCATTTAGATTCAATAACTTCAATAAAGATCAAGGATCCCATCACTTTAGTCGCCCCTTGCAAGAAGAAATTTCTTATTCGTATTAAAATTATTTTACTATATTTTAAGTTTTCGCTTCGATGCAAAGCCGAGAAGATATTTTTTTGTGACTATCATTTATTTTCTCTGCTCTAACTTGACCTACTTTTTTCAACAATACGTCAAATTACTACAATTCGTATCTAGTTGAAGATATTACTCTCAAAAATTGAAAAAAAAATTCTAATTTATCAATTAAACAGTTAGTTATTACATCGTCTCCATAAAGACAATTAAAATCATTAATTTCTAATGTTTTCAAAATATTTATTAACGAATGAAGTTTGATATGATAGGTTTGAACTACAAAATTAAATCATTTTACTTTGTAATTTAATAATTTTTTTACTCTATTTGTGTGTGCTACTACTAGACTATAATATTACAAATTATTTTATAACATGTTGCTATATAAATCATTTCTAAAAAAAACGATTGTTTTTTCTCCTGAATTAACAAATGATTTTTACAAATATAATCAAATTTTATAATACGCTCAATTGAGTAAATCTTTTTAACAACTTTGTTTTGNTACGCTCAATTGAGTAAATCTTTTTAACAATTTTGTTTTGATTGGTTCATTTAGTTAAAGTAAATCATTAAAATAATTAACTTCTCAAAATTTTAATTGTAGAATCTTTTGAAACAACAAAAGTTACTAAGAAATTATTACTATTACTTCTATTTAAGTTATCTATTAGCATAAAAATGCAAAAATATATTGAGCTTTTCTAATAAATTTATAATAAATAGTAATTATAAAACTTTCTGACTGCATATTGATCTTAACAATACAATTTTTTTAATTGTCATTAAATTTTCTATTTAATGATGTCAATGCCAAACATGCCAATTGAGCTAAAAGTTATGGTAAAATAAATTATTTTTTTAGCTTCGATGCGAAGCGGAGAAGGTATTAATTTTACTATGATGTGTTTTTTTTTTTTTTTTTTTATTTTTTTTTTATTTTTTTTTTTGTGTCTGTGAACGCTCAATCTCAGCTCTCGCTGGACCGATTTTGATGAACAATATGTCAAAAGATCACAAATCGTATCTAGTTGAAGACATTACCCTTAAAAATTGAAAAAAATTCCCTCGTTCCCCGCAAATGGGGGAAATATCCAAAAAAATTACAAATTTAAAAATCGCTAATTTTCGAAATTTTTTCACTTTTTTTTCTTAAAACTTCCATAACTTTTTGAAAAATCAACAAATCAACATAATTTTTTTTTATACTAAAACCTTAGATATTTACCTATATATAAATATCATTTTTTTGAAAATCTATCACATAACCTGCTCATTGGGGGGGATTTAAAATGGCAACTTTTTTACAAAAATTAATTTTTTCAACTTAANTTTATAATTTTTTTTTATACTAAAACCTTAGATATCTACCTTTCATTTGATATCATTTTTTTGAAAATCTATCACTTAACCTGGTCATTAGGGGGGATTTAAAATGGCAACTTTTTTACAAAAATTAACTTTTTCAACTTAATTTTTGAAAATGTTCCGGAAATACTGCGTCCTTTAAACATATATCAAATCAAAGGTTATGTTATATACTATCAAATGAAAAAAAAAAATTTGTCCCGACATCTTATCTTCTATGTGCAAATGGCTGTCGAAAATTTAAGAAAAAATGTAATGTTTGCGACAAAAATTATCTTTTATCGGGATGTTTTTTGTACTTAAAACTACTATAACTTTTTCAAAAATGAACAAATAATTTGTATTGATTNATTAAACATATATAAAATTAAAGTTTATTTTATGTACTACAAAATGAAAAAAAAAAATTTGTCCCTACGACCTATCTTCTATACGCAAATGGCTGCCGTATTCAAAAATATGCTATTTTTGTATGCAAATTATGGGTTTTGTATTTTATTTTAATAGAAGTTGATGTTGCTTTTGCAATTATCCATCAATTTTTTAAAATTAAACACTATCTACAGATTTGCATCGAAGCGTTTCTTATGATAGTGATTTTAATCACTGTCAGAT